GGAATATGTCCAGAGAAGAGCAACCACAACGATCAAGGGTCTGGAGAACAAGTCCTATGAGGAGTGGCTTAAAGAGCTGAGCATGTTTAGCTTGAAGAAAAGAAGGCTGAGAGGAGAAATTATAGCCAGGTATAAATATGTGAGAGGAAGTCATAAGAAGGAGGGAGCAAGCTTGTTTTCTGCTTTCCTGGAGACTAGGACGCGGAACAATGGCTTCAGACTTCAAGAAAGGAGATTCCATCTGAACATGAGGAAGAACTTCCTGACTGAGAACTGTTCAGCAGTGGAACTCTCTGCCCTGGAGTGTAGTGGAGGCTCCTTCTTTGGAGGCTTTTAAACAGAGGCTGGATGGCCATCTGTTGGGGGTGATTTGAATGCAATTTTCCTGCTTCTTGGCAGGGGGTTGGACTGGATGGCCCATGAGGTCTCTTCCAACTCTATGATTCTATGATTCTATGATTGGCTAGCAAGAGTATGATATTGTTTGGTAGGACTGACAAGGTGAAGGTATTGCTCATTGTACTAGGGATGCTTTACTAACAACTCCCAGAAATCCCAGCCAGCTTACCAACTGTTAAGAACTGTGGGAGCTGAAGTCCAAAACACCTGGAGGCCCAAAGGTTGGTAATCACTGCAAAAGTGTATGGCTTTCAGAGAAGCAGTAAACAACTCCATGGTTTACAAAGATCATAACTGTGGCACTGATTATCTTCCATGGGTCATGAGGTATTGTTGGCATTCAGATTCTCCTATATTCTGATTTCTTTTAGCGAGCCTGATAAACTTCACCTTGACAATTAACAACATCCCTCCTTGGGCTATATTGTTTGCTGAGTTCTGTCATTTGTGCTGTGCTAGGAATGCTATAATTTGGAAACTGTTTTCCTCGAAGATATTGAAAGGATGTTCCATGTGCTCATAATGAATCTGCACGAAATTGGGTACTTGGAACCTGTTGTATGCCTTCAAGAATTCTTGGCAAGATTTGGTCAGAGTGGGTTGTGATTGCCTTCCTCCGAGACTCAAGAACATGACTTGGCCAAGATCATCCAATGTTCTGATTCTCATCTCCAGAATTGTTATCAAAATCACTACACCATGTTGGTTCTGGCACCTGAAACAAGGATCAGGGATTGATAAAATTACTTCTTGGGGTGGCTATTCTCAGAATCCTCAGCCAACATATGTTAGTGGTAACTTGCAAGCTCTGACTCAAAGGAGAACTTTAAGAAATAATGAAAATGAAAATAATTGAGCAATTTCTGACCTATTTGAAAGTAGTTAGGCCGGTCAGTAGCAGTGCATTAGCTTTTGGAAAATGGTGCATCCAGCCTCTTCCCATCAACAATCAATAATGTTCTGAACAAAAGTAGAAACCCACATCGGATCTTATTACAACTACTTGGTGTGCCACCAATCATTTGAGGGAGGGGAATCAATGCACCATTCTTCAGAACCCTTCTTTCCAGCATTGCAGGACTCCATAGACTGCAACTGGCTATATTTTAAGGTGGGTTTGGAACATATTAGCAATCATGTCAATTGAACCATAATCATAACTGTGGCGCTAATTGACATATGCGAGTTGTAGTTACTGGGATGTATAGTTCACCTACAATCAAAGAGCATTCTGAACTCCACCAATGATGGAATTGAACCAAATTTGGCACACAGAACTCCCACAACGAACAGAAAATATATATCAGTAATTGGTTGGGGGGGGGCAAAATACTGTTTGCTTACCATTGAAAATTACCTAGGGCCACCTCTGGCTCAGGCAAAAGCAAACTGTTGCATCCTCTCCTAGTTTGCATGCTCTTCCTATGTCTTTGCCATCTTACCCGCCATATTCATCCTAGTTTTCACCTATGAAATGTTAGGAGTTATGGGGAGGCTTTCCATCTTCCTAAGAAACAGGTCACCTAACCTATTCATTTTGCTGGACTTCTCAAATTCTTAGACTCGCTAACTGATGTTGATTACTGTGCTGTTTTACTTTTCTGGCACTTGGCATATTTCTATTATCCTCTGTGACTATTTGTATCTTTCTATTGCCAAAGGAAGGAAATTGCTTTGCTGGCAGATTCAGCCGCACACAACTTTCCTCCGAACCAGCACGTGCTATGGGAATGACTAAACACTTCGGGATGTGGGATAGTCATGCCAAAAATAATATTGGTTTCTTTTAAGTTATTACATTTGTGGAGGGAATCAAGAAATGAAATGTTGGGGGTGGGGGTATAAGCCCTTTTACATGGTCACCAGGAGGCACCACGGCTCAAGGCTTCCACATAATAATAAACAATTCAGCCCTGCTTGAGCAGCATGCGGTGACATATCAGGGTGAAACAGATGAAAATATTTTCATTAAAATACTGGCTTTTGATTCTCTCTTCTGGAAACACTTGTGGAATGATTTGCAACACTATTTAAATGTATAAAGTAAAGGTTTCCCTTGACATTGGGGATAGTCATGTCTGACTCAAGAGGGTCGTGCTCATCTCCATTTCTAAGCCGAGGAGCCGACGTTGTCCATAGACAACTTTTAGGTCATGTGGCCAGCATGAATGCATGGAGCACCGTTATCTTTCCATTGGAGCAGTGCCTATTGAGCTACTCACATTTGCATGTTTTCAAATTACTAGGTTGACAGAAGTTGGGCCTAACAGTGGGAGCTCATCCTGCTCCCCGGATTTGAACCACCAATCTTTTGGTCAGCAAGTTCAGCAGCTCAACGGTTTAACCTGCTGTGCCACCAGGCAGCTTAAATGTATATATATTCTGCAATAATAAGAAGAGGAAAAGAAGAGACACATACACACACACACAAAAGAGAACAAATACTCCAGCTCTGAAAATCACTGTTCTATTCCCAGTCTCCTCCAAACAGCTAATTTATTTATTTATTTATTTAAAACTTTTAGACCCTGGTCTTCTCAACCTCTGCAGAGGGACTCAGGCCAGCTAACAGCAAAAAAATCAATATACAAATACAACTAATACCATCAAATGAGTTAGATACAACAGAATAAATACATAAAACCAAGTCGCCAAGATAAAATCTGTTGTATCGAAATCCACTTCCCTCGACACAAAGGTATCCTTCCCAGATCCACAGCTGTTTCAATATATTGCGATGTTTTGGTGCTAAATTCGTAAATATAGTAAGTAAGTAAGTAAGTAAGTAAGTAAGTAAAGTTTATCACGGTCAATGACCAGATCATAACAGGGGACCCAGTCACGTACATTTACATCAAACCCAAGGGGTTATATACTTCAAACTTCAACAAATTTTAAAATCTAAGCTAAAAACCAATACAAGTTGTTATTAAAACCTAACTCAACCCACAAGATCATCCAAACACAGTCTAAAGAGAGGTAATGGAGAAGGCACCAAAGAGGAGGGGAATATCCAACAGTATAAATATCAGTATATATCTGATTTCCCATCTATATTCCAGAGGAGGAGCTTAGGTCTTTTAACCCTCAATCATCATCCGCCAAATTTTAATCGCAGCCGTGCAGAACTGAGCAATGTTGTATGTCACAGCCGAGTTTGTGTCTGAGAGCAGCAGATCTACATAGAATTGTCCAGAGTGTCCTGGATATTTAATTGTCCATGGCAAGATGAAACAAGATTGAATGTCTCTATAAAACAGGCACTGGAGAAGCATGTGCTCCGTTGTTTCTATGTGACCGGAGTCACAGGTACATAGCCTCTCAGAGTATGAGGTCTTCTGGTAACAACCTTCCAATATGGCCGAAGGAAGCGCATGGCATCGTGCCAAGGTGAAGCCTCTCTGATGGCTGGCTACCTCCAACACAGTAAGATATTCCATAGGGGAGGTACAGTCCCTACTGTCTGCACCGGTAATAAAGGATGGGATGCTAGATAGATCTGTTTGGCGCTCATTGTCTGTTATTTGTTGTTTAATCTGGGATTTGGCTTGGTCATAGCCCATGTTGGTTAGTAGTTCTAACGATAGATCCACTATCTCCCTTTGCTAACTGGATTGAAAGTTGTCCTTCATAATGAGAGGTGCAAGGCCCAGAGGAGAGAGGGATAGTCTGAGCCAGTAATTCAATATTACCATCCACACCCTTGCCTCAACTCTCAATGAGCCAGTCTCCAGGTGTAGGGTGGCATTGGAGACACACCTTGGTACCTGGAGAACCGATCTTAAGAATTTGGATTGAACAGTCTCCAGTGGGGCAAAGTCAGAAAAGGGACCAATCTGGGAACCGTAAAGAAGTTGCGCCATTGACTTGACTTCGAAAAGTTTGAGTGCCGCTGGTATAAAGTGTCCACCTTTTGACTTCAGGTATTTTTGTTTGGCAGATGAACTCCTTTGTACATTCTCAGCCTCATAAATGCAAATACAGTAATTACTACATAATGTTACCATGTATTGAACTGCTTTTTCTGTCGATTTGTTGTAAAGCACAATGTTTTGGTGCTTAATTTGTAAAAATCATAACGTAATTTGACATTTATTAGGCTTTCCCCTTAATCCCTCCTTATTATCCAACATTTTCACTTATCCAGCATTCTGCCAGCCTGTTTATGTTGGATAAGCAAGACTCTACTGTAACTCCAATTTACACTTCTCTACATTGTTTAGGTTGGCATTCTCTTCCTCATTCTGCAGTAACCACACATCCTTGAGGATTCAATATTTTGCTCGTATGATAGTCTTTCTGTGTGGCCAGTCATTGTCTGTTGGCAAATAGGAAGGATCAGAGAAGCATCTGATTTTTCCCCCATAATCAATGGTAAAATAATGACATCCACTCAACCTAACCTACCTCTTGAAGCTGTTGTGAAGATAGAATACAGACAATGTGGGGTAAGAGGAAACATTATGAATTGCTTTCAAGAGACTACCTTTCTTTTGGAGATGTCCTTCAGATTCCTCCAAAGTGGAAATCTAATTATACTTCTTTTGGCTAAGACAACAGATTTCTCCCACCAGTTCCACACATCCTCTCTTCCTTCCCAGGGAATGGCCTTTACCCTTGAAGAGAGGCTCCAGCTGGGAATTCACGGCTTGCTTCCTCCTTGCTTCTTGAGCCAAGATGTTCAAGTCTTCCGTGTCCTGAAAAGCTACGAGACCAAATCCAGTGATCTGGACAAGTAAGCAGATGTGAGCCAGGTGTTTTTTCTAAAATGTAAAACCTGCTACTAGAGTTATGCAGCAGAAACTGCCTGCTTCTGCTTGACTTTGCTGTCTGCGTCTTACGTTGCCAAGCTTGTGGTGGTAGAGAAATGTGCAGAAGTTGCAATATGATAATGACATCACCATATCATAATATATATGAATGGAAATAAAAGGAAACATTGACACAAGGCAACAATTTCTAGTTTAGTCACATATCCCTTATACCGATTCCCTTCCAGCCCAGATGTATGCTTTTGTGATATAAGTCCAACCCCATTCTGCCATGCAAGAATACACAATCAAAGCACTCCTGATAAATGGCCATTTAGCAATTGTTGACAAAGCTCCAAAGAAGGAAACCACACCCCAAAGTAGTGAATTCCACAATTCTTCCTAACGTTTCAGTGGAATCTCTTTTCCTACTATCTGAATCCATTGCTCCATGTCCTAGTCTCTGGAGCAGCAGAAAGCAAACTTGCTCCTTCTTCATTATGGCATCTGTAATGGAAAAGTTAATTATAATTGAGTGTTTTTGTCTATGTTCATTAGTGTTGACATTATGGCAAGGGCAGTCAGGAACTGATTACATTTGATTGGTTGTTGTGTTATGATGGATACATAGCCTTTGCAGTAGAAATGTATCCATTTTAGAGTGGGTAGCAAGAAAAGGGGCAGAACTAGATAAGAATGAGGAACTTTTTTTTTAAGGAACCAGGAGCTAGAGGGAAGAGGATCAATATTTAAGTTTATAGCTTCCATCGTTATACTGAAGTAAAAAAAAGTTAATACAAGTCTAAATTCTCAGTTAGGTAAAACTGAGAGATAGAGATTCCTTTGGGACTAAGTTTACAGTCAAACTGTTGACGGAAGAAAGTGACTAAAAGTCATAAGCTAGCCAGCCAGAAGAATGAGGAGAAATATATTTTGAAGGAAAAGAAAGTGGTGTAACAGAGAAGAAATAAGTTAAACTGTTTTGAAAGTTATATAATAACAATTTTATGTATTCAAAGGAGTGAAAGATAGTTGCAATAATATCCAAGTGGAACTGAAGTAAAGTACATTGTAACAGATAAGCTTATGTGCAAAAGAATTCATAAATAAACATTTATTTGTTTCAACATATATATTAAAGTCTCGTGTCAAGTTACAGGACTAAAGTTACATGGCTGGAAATCAGATATTTAAACATAGGTGTCAAGCCCCCTCTCAGCTCCTTCTTCTCCAGGTTAAACATACCTAGCTCACTGACCAATTCCTCATAGGAGTTCATGGTTTCCAGGTCTTTTGATTGCCCTCCTGTGGACACATTCCAGCTTGTCAATATCCTTGAATGTTGATGTCTAAAACTGAACACATTATTCCAAGTTAGGTCTAACCAAATCAGGATAGAATAGAACATAATATTCATTAACACCCAATCTCCTCAATGAGAATGTTGGGAACCATAGATGGAGGTGGCCACAGCTTTTTCAAATCATATGTAATGGTTCTCAACCTGTGGGCCCCTAGATGTTTTGGTCTTCAACTCCCAGAAATCCTAACAGCTGGTAAACCGGCTTGGATTTCTGGGAGTTGTAGGCCCAAACACCTGGGGACCCACAGATTGAGAACCACTGATATAGAGAACCTGCAGAAGTGTCAACACAAGGCATTAATGGATGTTGTTATATTCCCTCACCTTTCCCCTACCTTTCCCCAGATATATCATCCTGATGACACTGCAAGACCGGAATGAGAAGCTGTTCTACCGAGTTCTCACATCAGACATCGAGAGATTCATGCCAATTGTGTACACTCCTACTGTCGGCTTGGCTTGTCAACAGTATGGCCTTACTTTCCGGAGGCCTCGGTGAGTTGCTAGGACTATTTTTATCCTTCTTCCCCTAGTCCTTCTCCTTCTTCTCTACTCCCAACTGCTGACCCTTTAATTGGAAATGAATGTTCATTTTGTAAATTGCTGCACATCTATCTGTGGGTGGTCTCCAAAGGAGAAGGACAAAAATGATCCCTGATCAAATGATACAACTATCAAGAAGCCCAGGGGAGGGGGGTGTTTGTTTTCATTTAATGACAAGCTGGGGAGAATTTTGTGCTCCTTGCCCCCTCCCAAGCAGCAGCAAAACAAAAGTAGTTTTGTTCAAGCAAAGTGCAGTGAAATCCGCTTAAATTTAACTGCAAAATGTCAGTAGGAATCCTCACATAACCCTCTTTCATTGGTTCCATAATCTTTACAATTCCTGTTCTAGGAAAAACTATGGACAAGATCTTGCAACTGGAGGTTATGACACATAGCTTTACAAAAGTGGAGCTATATAATTCCCATGATGCTTGTGAATTCCACAGTAGAGCACGTTGTAATATGTCTTGATAGGCAGCATGTCCTAAATGTATAATGTGTGGTGCTGTGTACGGGGGTGGGTGCATAAGGACAAAAGTGTAACAGCCATAATGTGGTTGCTGTTTATATATGGTCCCAGGGACATACTCTGTTCTTCTGGGTATAGAGTCATAGAATCCGAGAGTTGGAGGAGACTTTGTGGGCCATCAAGTCCAACCCCATTCTGCCAAGAAACAGGAAAATCCCATTCAAAGCACACCTGTCAGATGGCCATCCAGCCTCTGCTTAAAAGCCTCCAAAGAAGGAGCCTTCACCAGATTCTGGGGCAGAGAGTTCCACTGCTGAACGGTTCTTACAGTCAGGAAGTTCTTTCTCATGTTCAGGTGGAATCTCCTTTCCTGTAGTTTGAAGTCATTGTTCCATGTCCCAATCCCCAGGGCAGCAGAAAACATGCTTGCTCCCTCCTCCCTATGGCTTTCCCTCATGTCTATCATGTCTACGAAATTTTGCACAACATCACAATTCACCTTTATGGGAACATAAGATGGTTTACGAAGGTATAAACACCTAATAAAATGCCAACCTGCTTTTTTAGCATAATAGTCCCAGCATCACAACAATTCTGGAAGTATCTATCTATAGATTACAATAGGATGGTTAACTGGTGATTCTCAGACTTGTTTGCAGTCCCTGGGCTATTCTCATGCATCCTTCAGCCCAATGGAGGATGATGACTCCAACACCAGGAAGGCAATGAATGTACTCCAAGTTTTGTTCTAAACTTCAAATGAACTATCCAAGGTGCTGACGCCCCACCCTCAAAATGGGCTCAGCACCTTGAATTGCTCTTATCAATCTTGGATATTAAAACTAGAGTGGATCCGCCATCTCCAGGATATTGGAGGCATCAACTTTCCTATGTCAACCAAAGTTGAAAAGCTCATGGTATCCAATTGAGCAGGATCTTTCCAAATGTGTTTACCACTTTCCCCAGCAGCTCAGGAAGCAGAAGGGAGACAGGGGAAAGAAGGAGGTGACTGAGAGGGAAAGAAAGGTGGATGAGAGATAGAAAAGGAAATAAAAACATTGAATTCCATACTTCTGGTCCTAGTCTGTCCATTATATTCTGTTCATATCAATTTTCCACCTGTGTGTGGATTGCCCCAAGGGAATCATACAATCTTAGAGTTGGAAGGAACCTCATGGCCTATCGGGTTCAACTTCCTGTCAAGAAGCAGGAAAATCGCATTCAAAACTACCCCCAACAGATGGCCATCCAGCCTCTGCTTAAAAGCCTCCAAAGAAGGAGCCTCCACCACTCTCCGGGGCAGAGAGTTCCACTGCTGAACAGTTCCATTGCTGAACAGTTAGGAAGTTCTTCCTAATGTTCAGGTAGAATCTCCTTTCCTGTAGTCTGAAGCCATTGTTCCATGTCCTAGTCTCCCAGGCTGAAGAAAACCAGCTTGCTCCCTCCTCCCTATGACTTCCCCTCACATATTTATACATAGCCCTCGTCATGTCTCCTCTCAGCCTTCTCTTCTGCAGGCTAAACATGCCCAGCTCTTTAAGCTGCTCCTCATATGGCTTGTTCTCCAGACGCTTGATCATTTTAATCGCCCTCCTCTGGACACATTCTAGCTTGTCAACATCTCCCTTCAATTTTGGTGCCCAGAATTGGTCCCAGTGTGATTCCAGGTGTGGTCTGACCAAGGCAGACTTATTTATTTATTTATTTATTTATTTATTTATTTACCACCCCTTTCAGCCCTCAGGTGACTTGAGGGGTAACATGACTTCCCTGGATCTAGACACTAGTCTACTATTTATGCAGGCCAAAATCCCATTGGCTTTTTTAGGCACCACATGACATTGTTGGCTCATCTTTAACTTGTTGTCCACAAGGACACCAATATCTTTTTCACAAGTCTGTTGAGCCAGACATTTTTTCGATGTTTGGTGCAACAGAAGATGGATTGCCTCCTATGAATTACAGCCTGGCAAAGTTTGGAAAAGTTGTTAACCTAAAAAGAAAAAAAAGAAAAGGAAGTGACTGAGGAAAGAAGCAAAGGAAAGCAGAAGGAAAGGGTTATCATAACTTTTCTTTTTCTAGCCCATTTCAAATCTTACAGGTAGATTCTGCGAATAGTTATTTATAAACTTGGAAATGCTTCTAAGTGAATGATTTTAAATGTATAATATGCTGGTACGAGATAATGATAAACTTTTAGATGGTATATGTAACCTGAGTACTCAGCTAGCTGAAAGGTCTAAGTACTGCTATTTTGCAAAAAAAAAAAAAATGCCCAAGTGGCATTTCTGCAAAAAAGCTTGCTATTAAATTGTCCTTTGTGTTTGTTGTACTCATGGTTCATAACAGTTGCAATTTTGCTCACAGTTATATAGAGAAGATAACTCCCACTGTGTTTTATTATGTCTGCTTTTTCTCCCTTACGTAATCTGTTTCTGAGTAAGACGTCAGTCCGCCACCCTCACCAAACCAAGTACATTATTTATTCTTCCCTCAAAGCTCAGTAGAATTTTAAGTGCAGAATAATAATAGTAATCAACTGGGGAGACTATTATTCCTAAGCCCTTAATTTAAATACACTTTGCTTTTTTTAGTCCTTAGATAACTCAAAAGATAACCAAGTTTTTAAAAAATTCACAGCCCTCTAGTGTTTTAATATTCAGGGATAACCAACCTATGTCAAACTCTTAACAGATTTGCAAATGGCATATTCTCTGTGCATCTTTGATTCTGCCCAATCATGATCTACTGGAAAGTAAATTAGTCAAATGTGGGGTAGGCAAACCTACAGTTAGGTGAATCTGTAATTGGTTAAGCAAACAAACCCAGAGGGTGATTCTCCCCAATGCTTCCTCTTCATCCTGGAAAGAAGTGATGAGCGGAGTGCCCGCAGGGTTCCGTCCTGGGCCCAGTCCTGTTCAACATCTTTATTAATGACATAGATGAAGGCTTAGAAGGCATGATCATCAAGTTTGCAGATGACACCAAATTGGGAGGGATAGCCAATACTCCAGAAGACAGGAGCAGAATTCAAAATGATCTTGACAGATTAGAGAGATGGGTCAAAACTGACAAAATGAAGTTCAACAGAGACAAATGCAAGATACTCCACTTAGGCAGAAAAAACGAAATGCAAAGATACAGAATGGGGAATGCTTGGCTCGAGGGCAGTACATGTGAAAATGATCTTGGAGTCCTCATGGACAATAAGTTAAACATGAGTCAACAATGTGATGTGGCAGCTAAAAAAAGCCAATGAGATTTTGCACTGCTTTAATAGGAGTCTAGTGCCTAGATCCAGGGAAATCATACTAGCCCTCTATTCTGCCTTGGTCAGACCACACCTGGAATCACACTGTAACCAATTCTGGGCACCGCAATTGAAGGTTGATGCTGACAAGCTGGAATGCTGACAAGCTCAAATGATCAAGGGTCTGGAGAACAAGCCCTATGAGGAGTGGCTTAGAGAGCTGGGCATGTTTAGCCTGCAGAAGAGAAGGCTGAGGGGAGACATGATGGTCCTGCATAAATATGTGAGGCGAAGTCATAGAGATGTGGGAGCAAACTTATTTTCTGCTGCCCTAGAGATTAAGATGCGGAACAATGGCTTCAAACTACAAGAAAGGAGATTCCACCTAAACATGAGGAAGAACTTCCTGACTGTGAGAGCCGTTTAGCAGTGGAACTCTCTGCCCCAGGGTGTGGTGGGGGCTCCTTCTTTGGAGGCTTTTAAACAGAGGCTGGATGGCCATCTGCTTCTTGGCAAAATGGGGTTGGACTGGATTGCCCACAAGGTCTCTTCCAACTCTATGATTCTATGCTCTTTATGTTTTATTTTAACCCCAATTGTTATCCTTCCAAGAAGTGACTCCCTCCATAGTCCTTACACCTGATTATATACAAAATGAATCATATAATCTATGTTTGTTTGCTGTATTTCTTCTTCCTTTCTTCTTTGAGTCTTTCTTTTTATTGGTTTCGTTTGTCTATGGGATTGTAATTGACCCCAAACATTTGCAAAACAGCTCTAAGGAAGTTCAGTTAGACTAGAAAACAAAACCATATGAGTTTTAAGTGTGTCTGTAGTTCATTAAAGGATATTATTTCATGCATTTTGGAATCATAGAATTGTAGAAAAGCAGCAGAGCTCACTAATGTTACCCCCTGCTGATACAGCATTATGAAGTGATACCTGATAGGTGAGCCTCAAAACTCTCCTTTAAAGCCTTCAATAAGGAGAATTCAGCATTGCCTGAGTCAGTTCATTCCACAGTTGAACTATTACTATTGTGACAGTGTTCTTCCCAATGCTTAGTTGAAATATTCTTTCTTTGTCATTTGTACGCCTTGATTTGGGTCCAAGTATCTCCTTTCAGATATTTGAAAAATGGCTATCATATTGCTTCTCAGACATTTCTTCTGTTGTCTTAAATTGTCTTCCAACTATGGAAGACATGAGGAAACAAGCTTTCTCCATCTTGTG